TCCGGCACTTGTCTGCACATGGGGCCCAGGGGTGGTGGGGCCTGGGTGTCACCACCCAAAATTTGGGGACTGCTCTGTGGGAAAGGCACCCTGGGGACATCAGCACACACAATCTGGGAAACCCTCAGTGGACAGGGGCACCCTGGGGACATCAGCACCCACAATCTGGGGATCCCTTGGAGGGCAGAGGCACCCCAGGTATCTGGGTACCCACAATTTTGTGGCCCCTCAGTGGGCAGGGTCCCCCTGGTGTGTGAGCATCCACAATTTGGGGACCCCTCAGTGGGCAGAACCACCCTGGGGGCGTGAGGATCCATAATTTGAGGAACTCTCGGTGGGCAGAGGCACCCTGCAGATGTGGGCACCCACAATTTGGGGACCCTTCTGTGGGCAGGGGCACCCTGGTGTGTGGGCACCAACAATTTGGGGACTCTAGGGTTGCCCATGTCCCCGGGGTGCCCTGGAAGGGGGTGCCCAAATATGGGTGCTCTGGATAGGGGTGCCCAGATGAGGGTACCCAAATATGGGTGCCTGGATAGAGGTGCCTAAATGAGGGCACCCAAATATGAGTGTCTGGATAGAGGTGCCTCGATGGGGGTGCCCAAATATGGGTACCTGGATGGGGGTGCTCAGGTGAGGGTACCCACATATGGATACCTGGATAGGACTGACCAAATGAGGGCACGCAAGTATGGGTGCCTGGATAGGGGTGCCCTGGATGAGGGTGCCCAAATATGGGTGCCCCATATGGGGGTGCTCAGATCTGGATGCCTGGATAGGGGCACCCAAAATGAGAACTCAGAGGTGCCGGTGTAGGGGTGCTCCATAGGGATACAAGGAGAGGACACCTGATTTGGGGTGCCCAGGTGGGGATGCTGCACTGGGGGTGCCAACACAAGGGTGCCCATCCCACCACCACCCACCCCATGGCCACCCCATGGCTCTTCCCACTCCACAGATGGAGGTGGAGAAGGTCCCACCCAGACCCGAGCACCCAACTCTCCTGAAGGCCTACAAATGGCGCACGACAGCACCCATGGGTGACCACGACCCCCAGGGGAACACTGGGTCCCCGGGCAGCCGGCGCTGGGCCCGCTTGCAGGGGTGGAAACGTTCCTACAGCCAACCCGAGTCTGGTGGCCTCCACGATGATGTTGGGAAGGTCACCCCCAACCTGGGGGCACCCAAGGCCAGCACCCGGAGGTCCCTCTTCCGACGGGCATTTTCGGCGCCCTCCAAGGGGACCAAGGAGACGCGGGGACCCGAGGGTGGCAAGGCCACCCTGCAGAAGTACCTGAAGTCCATGTCCAAGAAGAGGGGTCACCCGGAGAGCAGTGGTAGAGCTGGGGAGGTGCTCCATGATGAGGGTGGAGGTATGGGGTGGTGGGGAGGGTGGAGGTCAGGGTGCTGGAGGTGGGGGGGGTTGGTGGTGGGTGATGATGATGAGTGATGGTTTGGGGTGATGTGTGCTGGGTTGGGGGTGGTGGGTGATGATGGGTGATGGATTAAGGGTGATGGGTTGGGAGTAGTGGGTGATGATGGGTGATGGGTCGGGGGTGGTGATGAAGTGTGATGGGTGGTGGATGATGATAAGTGGTGGGTAAGGATGATGGATGGTGGGTTGGGAGTGATGGGTGATCGGTGATGATGATGATGATGGGTGATGGATTAGGGGTGATAGGTGGTGGGTTTGGGGTGATGGGTGGTGGATTAGGGGTAGTGGGTGTCAGTGATGGTTTGGGGGTGGTGGGTGATGACTTGATGGTGTCGGGTGGTGGGTGATGATGATGGGTGATGGGCTGGGGTGATGGGTGGGGGGTGAAGGTGATAGGTGACGGGTTGGGAGTGATGGGTGGTGGATGATGATGGGTGATGATGATGGGTGGTGGTTTGGGGGTGATGATGAAGGGTGATGGGTTGTGTGGTGATGGTTGATGGGGACCGCTGGAGTCTGAGGAGTGCTGGACTGGGTGTTGATGGGTGCCAGTAGGGGACAGAGGGGCCACTCATGGTAGCATCTCCATGGCCGAATGTCCCCTGGCATTGCCACACTCATGGTGGCATCTCCTTGGCCACTTGTCCCTTGTCACCACCCCCCTTCCTGTGTCCCCAGTGCACACCCATGGGCCGTCCCCCATCCCACTGACCCCAGCAACCCCCACTCCGGTGTGGGACGTCTCCAACTTCTCGCTGGTGGAGAGGCACCTGGTCCTGGTGGCCAGGGATGAGGAGGTGAGGCCATCATGGGGACAAGACCTCCCCCAGGTCCTTTTGGGTGCTTGGGACACTGCACCTGACCCTTCCGTGTCCCCTCAGAGCAGGAGCAGGACCGGGAGCTCCATCTCGGAGGGTGCCGCCAGGAGGGACCACGGTGAGGAGCTGGGGTGAGGGCATGGGGTGGGGAGAGGTGGGCACGGGGGCGCTTGGGCGCTGGGCACTGTCGCACAGCGTGGCATGCGTGCACCTTGCACCAAGAACCTTGCACCAAGCCATGCACCGTGCATCGTGGCTGTGCCCTACGCCACTCACCACGCACCGAGCACCTTGCACCGTGCCCTGCATCATGGCCCTCCATCATGGCCATGCCCTGTGCCATGCACCATGCACCGTGGCACGCATCGTGGCCATGCTTTGTGCTATGCACTGTGCCCCGTGCACCTTGCACTGTGCTGGGCATTGTGGCTGTGCCCCATTGCCGTGCACCATGCACCTTGCACCACGCTGTGCACCACGGCCACGTCTTGTGCCATGCACCGTGCACCTTGTGCCGTGGCCTGCATCATGGCCATGCTTTATGCCGTGCACTGTGCATCATGGCCATGCTTTGTGCGCCTTGCACCATGCACCATAGCTGTGCCCTACGCTGCGCACCTTGTGCCGCACACCATAGCTGTGCCCTACGCTCACAGAATCACAGCACGTTAGGGATTGGAAGGGACCTCAAAAGCTCATCCAGTCCAATCCCCCTGCCAGAGCAGGAACACCCAGATGAGGTTACACAGGAAGGCGTCCAGGCGGGTTTTGAATGTCTGCAGAGAAGGAGACTCCACAACCTCTCTGGGCAGCCTGGTCCAGTGCTCTGTCACCCTCACTGAGAAGAAGTTTCTTCTCCAATTTCAGTGGAACCTCCTGTGTTCCAGTTTGTGCCCATTACCCCTTGTCCTATCATTGTTTGTCACCGAGAAGAGCCTGGCTCCATCCTCGTGACACTCACCCTTTAAATATTTATAACCATGAATGAGGTCTCCCCTCAGTCTCCTCTTCTGCAAACTAAAGAGCCCCAGCTCCCTCAGCTGCTCCTCAGAAGGGAGATGCTCCACTCCCTTGATCATCTTTGTAGCCCTACGCTGGACTCTCTCCAGCAGTTCCTGTCCTTCTTGAACTGAGGGGCCCAGAACTGGACGCAATATTCCAGATGTGGTCTCACCAGGGCAGAGTAGAGGGGGAGGAGAACCTCTCTGACCTACAACCACCCCCTCCTGATACACCCCATGCCATGCACTGAGCTGTGCACCGTGCACATTGTGCACCACGACTGTACCTTGTACCACGCATTTTGCACCATGCACCTTGCACCTGCATCATGGATGTGCCTTGTGCCCTGCACCATGCACCACGCTGCGCATCATGTCTGTGCTTTATGCCATGCACCGTGCAACGTGCCATGCAACCTGACTGTGTCTGGTGCCATGCACCGTGCTGTGCACCACGCCGTGCCTCACACCACGCCAACCCCTGTGCCATGCCCCACATCGTGCACCATGCACCACGAACCATCCCAAGCCCTGCATCATGCACCACATCCCACACCGTGCCCCACACCCCACATTGTCTCCCACACGGAGCCGTTTGCACAGAGGAAGCTCAGGGTGTGCAGCGACATCAGCACTGGCTCCCTGCTTCCTCCCTGATCCCAGCCATGATAACCCCAAAAATTCTGCTTCCGAGGGAGAGACCCTAATTTGGGGTGCGCGGGGTGGGGGGGGGGTCCTGATTTTGGGGGGTTCAGTGTTGGGAGTCCTGATTTTGGGGTGCTCAGGGTGGAGGATCCCAAATTTGGGGTGTTCAGGGTCAGAGTCTCTAATTTGTGGTGTTCAAGGTAGGGGGTTCTGATTTTGGGGTGCTCAGGGTGAAGGTTCCTGATTTGGGGTACTTGGGGGGGTCCCTAATTTGGGGTACTCAAGGTTAGGTGTCCCGATTTTGGGGTGTACAAGGTGGGGGTGTCCCTAATTTAGGGTGCTCTGGGTAGGAGTAGTGATTCTGGGGTGGTCAGGGTGGGGGGATCCTGATTTTGGGTGTTCAGTGTGGGGGGACCCTAGTTTGGGGTGCTCAGGTTGGGGGTCGTGATTTTGGGGTGCTCAGGGTGGGGGGGTTGTGATTTTGGGCTGCCCCCTCCAGAGCCACCATTGGACACGAGCAGCACCCGGGGTGGGGGCAGGAGCCCTGAAACCGACTCCTCCAGCACCTCCCAATTCACCAACGTC